CACATTTATGATCTGCTCAAACGATGTTTTAGTCTTTTGTCGCTTAAAGTACATTTTTCAATGACACAAACATTATGCAGCAGGTGTACTTGTAGCTATATTTTAACAGAGCATGACTTCTTTTTCTCAATATTAAAGGTAAAAAAGATCAAGGCCATTTATCACACCATGAACATGTTCAACCTGGACGTGACTCAGAAATGTCTTATTGCTGAGTGTTGGTGTCCAGTTAGTGACTTGGATAAGATTCAGCAGGCACTGCGGCGTGGCACGGAGCGCAGCAGGGCTGCTATACCGTCCATTCTGAATCGCATGTCAACAGACGAAGAACCACCAACCTTTAACAGGACAAACAAGTTTACACAGGGGTTTCAAGCTATTGTAGATGCCTATGGAGTGGCCAACTACCAAGAGGTTAATCCAGGTATTTTGCATTGTATTTGTTATTTAATGTACATGATCCTCATCAGTTGAATTGTATGTACTAAGAATTACATGTACCATCCAATATCATTATCTCCATGGGTATGTAAATTTTAGCCATACAGTCAACTCCTGATAACTCGAACCTTCAAGGGAAATTGAAAAAAGTTTGAGTTATGCGGAGTTCGAGTTATCAGGAGTTGAGAACAAATGAGCGGAAATAAGGATAAAAGGGTGTTCAATGTTTTTCTATTCATGCAGTGTACATTTTAAGCAAATTTAATTGCAGGATAGAGAAGTTGAGTGAAAATAAAACAATACATCTCTAAATTACTCTATAAATCAGAAGGTAACATAATGTGAAAAATGTAACAAAGGAAAGCAGCAGGGAGAAGTCCAGGAACTGTGAACTGTACAGGTTTTTTCACACAGCTGCTTCAAAATAAATTTAATGTTTTGGACAACAGTACACTATTTGTTTTGACTGTGACCTGAAGGGAAATGGAAATTGCTTCGAGTTAATTAGCGGGAGGTTTGAGTTATCAAGGGTTCAAGTTACAGAGGGTAAAATTAAAGTAAATGTATGATGGAAATCCAGGGGAAATTGATTTTGGTTCGAGTTAGCGCGAGGTTTGAGTTAGTGAGGGTTTGAGTTATAGGGAGTCGACTGTATTTTCTTTTTCTGCCCTTAGTGGAGTGGTGAGTGTGAAATGCAAGACTTTGCAAGAACGCAAGACTAGCCTTTTTCTTTGCAAGCCCAAGACATTTTGACTTTGCACAAGAGAAAACAAACAAATGATCAAGATGTTCTTAGCCTTGCAAAAGATTAAAACTCTGAGAGAATTTTGCAAAAAAAAAATTCAAGACTGCGAGATGCACATAACTGCTAAAAAAGCGAGTTTTTGAAAGATCGTTCATTCATAGTCACCTGTCAAGTGAAAATTTCTTTCAAGTGTACTTCTTGATCATAGTTTGGCTTAATAACCATTTTTCTCTGTCTAATTACCTGTTGTGTCATAATTTTTGTGAAAAAAATCCATTGACATGTTTATTTCCTAGTCCGCCTTTATTCAAATTTAAATCCTAAAGTTCTGCATGTGTCTGTTACCAGTAATTGTATGCAAGTACCACTGTATTTAGGACTGACTTCAAGTTGTTCTGTCTTTTCTTTCCACCAGCTCTGTTCACTATCATCACTTTTCCATTCCTGTTTGCGGTCATGTTTGGTGACTGTGGTCATGGGTTAATCATGTTTCTGTTTGCATTGTGGTTGGTGCTTAAAGAAAAGAAACTGGAGAATTACAAAGGAGGAGAGGTAATTATGGTTGCATACCTTGACCTCAAGAGAACAATGCAATTTTTAAATGTAGATTAAGCCTGAATTCAAAAACAAATTTATACCACAACATGCATATATTGACTGCTGCTAAAATTAATGAACTTGAAGAGAAGCCAAATGCAGTTTCATAGATTATTACAGACTGGCCTACCTAGACTAGCACTTAGCTATTCACAAGCCAGGCCAATTGTAACATTGTAAGCTTACAGATGAAAATAAGATTGTTGTTGTTGTAAGCTAGTTGTTGTTGCAGTACACTTCAACATAGCTGTAAACGTGTGATGGCTGGTTTTCAATATTTGTGCACCCAACAGGCTGAATTATTAGATTGCCTTTAAGTTGACAGTCTACAAATTTCAATCAGTTTGCCTGTTCAGATACAAGCATTTCTGCATGTTTATAGCATTCTCAAAATTTCAATGAATGTGCTAAAACATAAACTAAATCTAAATTAAGATAAAAATGTGTAATTTTGCTTATAATTGTTTTTCATTGCATGTATAATTTTTTGTACAATTTTCTGTTATTGCTACTATATTATATAAAATTGAGATCCAAAAATATTTACTATTTCTCACATGTCAGATGTTTGAGACCGTATTTGCTGGCCGCTATATAATTCTGTTGATGGGACTGTTTTCAATCTATACTGGCCTTATATACAATGACTGCTTTTCAAAGTCATTCAACATCTTTGGCACTGCATGGGATCTTAGTGTAGATTGGGATGGCATCAGGTATGTTCAAATTTATAAATAATTTACCACATTTTCTTCATTTACCACCCCTGGCGTCCATTTCAAACTTGCTGTTGGAGACCCGCGTTTATTGATGCTTGTTCATATTTGAACCTGATATTTAGCACTTTACATGTGCCTTAAACTTCCTGCCCAGCTTATTGCTCCTTGCAGAATATATAATGCTTGAGGAGCTAATATTGGAAACGCTGCATGTTATGGAAAAAAATATGGTAATGTGCTAGTTGTAAGCAATGACGGGCTTAAGTCCTCAAGACTTTAAATTATTTTTTAGTTTGAGTGACTTTTAAAATTACAATTGTTCTTTAGTAAAAAGACCCTTGACTCGCATGGTAATACATCCAAAATAATCATGGTCGACCCAAATAAGACCTACCGTGGAATTCCTTACTTCTTTGGTATTGATCCGGTAAGTTCCTGTGTTATGCTTCATGTACATGATTATTATTATGGAAGATGATGTCAGTCTAATACACAGACTGTGGACTGCAGACCATGTCGATGACCATGACTTTAAGTGAATATAAGACACAGACTGCGGTATATATAATAACGTGGGCTATACCAGAAAAACAGATTATGGACTGGGTACAGACAACAAAAAATACCTAGGTATTAAATGTGGACCAAAGATTACTTACAGACTGCATGCATGTGTAAATGCAGAGTTAGTAAAACCAGGCAACCTGAGATGTACAGTGTATTCTAACACAGGTTGCTTCAGTACAGATCAAGGGAGACTGGAAATTCACAGTGAAAACATGCTGATCTTGTAGATAATCTGATCTTATTAGAGACTAGATACACTATATAATCTAGGCAAGATTTGTGGAATCTTATAAGCTTAAGCAGCACTGAAATGTATTAGGAGAAAAACAGAGGACACTTGGTTTGTTAATTTCTTGTTTAGAATTATGCTGACCAC